CAGGGCCCGCATTCTGTTTGTCTGAATGGCCGGGCTGTGCGGCTGCCGACAGCCTGCAGAGCGGCTGCAATCGCAGGGCGGTCCCAAAATACCCGCCGCTGTTTATAGCCGCCGGAGACACGTACGTCCTCGGAAAACGTGAGCCTAAGAAGCCGGCGACATAAATATTTACGCCCGTAATACTGTTGATGATGGCAGCGAAGCGACTCGAGCGGAGCCCGTGCCATGGGCCGGCCAGAGGCCAAGTTCTTTTTACGAGGGCCGGCTGCGCGCTAAGAGGCGGCTGGTCGACGCTGGTTCTGCTCCTAAGTGTTGCACAGGGGTGCTATCCTGTCCAGGGACCGTCCTGTCGACTTGGCCTGCCCAGCCGTGCTCCTGCAGGCGCTATCTGTCCTGTGGAGGGTTGCTGCCTTGTGTCCAGAAGCGCTCTCTTGTCCTGCCTGGGGCGTTGTCCCATTCTTTACAGGGGTGATGTTCTCTCCTGCACAGGGGTTATGTTCCGTCCTTTTCGGACCAATCTTATGGCACTGTTCCGTCCTGTCGAGGGGCGCTGTCCTGTCCTACTCGTGACGCTGTCCTATGCCACGGGCACGGAGGACACTACCTTGTCCCCCCAGTGGCACTGTCCCGTCTGTCTGTCCCTGCGGCGTTTGACGGGGTTACCCAGGACCAGGAACTGCGGCAGAGCGCTGTGGCCGAAGCCCCAGCGCGGCGTATTCTGGCGTCACTGCGGCGAAGCCCCAGTAAATCACTCCCTGCCTCGCCTGGGGAACCGGGAGTGCCGCAGTACGACAGCGATGCGGTGCCATGGCAACACCCTCTCTCGACCCCTTGGGTCTGCAGGCCGCGGTATAGGAGTATATGGGGTAGCAACGGCAGCAATATCGGTGCTGCGAGCTCATGCTCTGCAATGGCAGCCTGCTAGGTAGTAGGTACTAATTTTGCTCGTGATATTTTACTCGTAGTTTAGATATACAGATATGACCCGTACGAGATGAATATGTCATTTATATATGTAAATGTCGTTTGCTTTTAGGTGTTCTACCAATTTACAACATGAAAAGCAATACATAGCCATAAGGCATGCGTGTTATGGGGACAGGAGATGCTGGCCGATGCTTCGAAAGACAAATGGTTTGACAAGTTCGTGTGTGCAATACAAACGGTTACAATACGTTACGTAAAAACGGTTATGTCCAATTTAACAGCGGTTGCGCCTCGGCATTCATAACGTCACCGTTAAAAAGTAATTGCCTATTCATGGCGACAGTTTTAAGGCCATGCATCACCAGCGAGACTTGGAAGTTGGAGGGCCCGCAGTGCGGCTTAGGCCTTAGCTGAAGCCTGAACGGTCGGGTGATTCATGTCGCCGAGTGCTGAGATTGAATATCCCGCAGAGACAGATCAGCCTTTCATGCAACATGTACGTACATAAAGCGATATGTCGTATCCCACTCAGATAACACATATGATAGCACGTGTACACATTAAAACATGCCATAAAAGGGATGGATAATGCAGTTACTTATTCGCCATTATTCACTAGTCAATTTATCTGAATTCAGATTCGGATCCTTGTAAATTGTACATTGCAGGCTGCAGATACATATAACATTATTGCTGGCCATCTAAGACCCTACAAATGTGATTTTTCCAATGCTCTAGGTCTAGGTGGCACTGCCATTCTTGGTCAAGCAGAGGGTCCTCCACTGACCAAAACCCACCGATCGCCGCGGCGGCCTCCCTTCTCTAGGGTCGGGGTGATGCATGGGCCGCGTTGGCCGGTTAAGATGCATGGCATGGCTCCCCTCAGTCACCTATCAGACCTTATCGGTCGTAATTTGCACCACCAGAACACCCGGTGGACATGGCTTCTGGCGTCAGAATTATAGACAGGAAACTTCTTCATTGGCAGGCTATAGCATGTGTACTTCAGAATGTCAGGGGTGATGGAGTCTGATGATGTCGCTTTCAAAGAGAATTTAGATATTTTGGTGTTTCAAATTGCCGTAGATTTTTATATGTCTCACTTCAACATTGCTCGTATTTTGCTAAAACGGCGTTGAAACGCTATACCTGTATGCATATTGCCTGTATCATCATGGGCCATGCCCATGGTACGATTTATTTTAGCAATCTCTGGGGCGACTAAATCTCATTTCAACTCCTCTACCCTGGAAATGGCCACTGGCCAATGGCCAATGGCCATGTTTCGTCGCAGTACCTCGCTGCAGCGCCTCCATTTACTCCGCAATAACAGCGTCTATCGCAGTGTAGGATCTACCTTCTAAGGCAGCAACTGACCGTCAAACAGCATACATCATGCATGCACGAATGTCATGGCTCCTCGGCGCAGTGCTGTGCCCAAGGTCTCCGTGCTGTGCTCAGCAGTACTCCCTATTCGTAATTCCCTGGACTGTATACACAGCACGTGTCCATTGGTATTGACGTGCGCCGCAGATACACCATGCAGGGGCGCTGAGCGATGTGTATTGATGGGCAGAGGATGCGTGTGTGTGTGCGTGTGTGTTTGTACGCCGCATCGACCGCCGTGTGAGACACAGGGCGCCGTGATAGGTCCGTGTCTCACTCAATATAATTGTGTCATGGTTTGTATAACGCCTGTCAATATTTTTTGTTCCTAATGTCTTTTTTTCCTTCGGCGGGGTCCATGTCGGCGGGGTCCATGTATTGTATGGTTTCTGTGGAACGCACCTTCCACGCCACGAGGGGGCCTCCAGAAAAAAAATGCGGAGGGGTACACTGTCCACTTGAGGAATCAAATATACCTGATCAGGAGCTTCTCAACTTACATGCGTTAAATGGATAACAGGGTGCCACAAAAGGTTTTCATTTGCGTGCAGTTCCGACATTTTCTGATCTGACGAATACCTCAATCTATGAATTTCCTAAACGGTGCTTCGGCCTAGATCACAATCGCATAAGCCCGTGGATACGTTGCTTTTGAATTTGATACGAGCAGGCCGCGTTTTTCGTAGTTAGATGACAGTGGATATGACGACCGGCATGACTGCGTAGTGCGTAGACTGCCTCTCAGAAAAACTCAGTCGCATCCCTTGTCCTGGAACTAGGAAGAAGTTTTTGTTAGGTGTCATTGATCAGATCGCTACGGTGAACAAACTAACGAGCTGGCAATGGCTTATTGTAGAATGATGGGTACTCATGTCCCAAGCCTCACCTTGTAGCTAGGTACTTTCCAGATTGAACCTTTGAATGCCTGTGAAGGCATCCGTTCGCTTATTATGTATGACGCCCGGCATTATTACTGGTATTTTGTACGCATGCGGTTATTGTTTTGTACTTGTGCAAATGGTTCCAAGCATACGAGTACACTTCCAACCGTTTTGGTATGACATTCTTTGTTGGTATGTGCAGCTGGGGTGGCTAATTGTATGCTCGTAAATTGATATCGGATTACGCAGCGTACATAGGTTTGTATTGTGAATGGCATTGTTATGTGTATGTAAGTACTGTGCATGAACGTACTAGGCTTAACCCGGCAGTTGCTGGGGTATTTCGCCACCCACCGTTTGCTGGGGGGGGGGGGGGCGTTAAACGCCCCCAGCCGATAACTCGAGAACCAATAGGCGCAGCGAAACGCACGAGGCGGCAAACGAAAGAACGCGACGAGACGCTTCAAGTGAGTACTTTAAAGTTGAATTTTGAGGTCACAGGTCGGGTCAAGGTCAGGTCAAACACCTGAAATCGGGCTTTCAGTAGCATGGGCTTCAGGACTTCGCAATTGGCGCCTCTCGTCAGTAACTCTGTCAAAACGGTGCACAATCCATCATATAAGGCCTACAGGAGTGTCAGCTCCATGTAGGGGTCAGTCAAGCATAGGTCAGGGTCAAGGTCAGGTCAACCGGGTAGGCACATATCCCCGAAAATCAAAACTGATATTCGCAGCCTGTAACACATGTTTTATGGGTAATTTGGGGCGTAGAACACGATGGTGACATTCATTTTATCATATGTGTACGTGTTTGGCTCAAAAGGTTCAATTTAAGAAATGCATGTATCATGGTCGTGAAGTAGTCACAAGAAATTGCCAAGATTCAGCTCAAGATTTTGGAAAATGCGGAAAGATAATCAATAATCGAAGATTATTTATTTATTTATTATATACGAAGAAGCCATTTGATTGTTCATGGTATTAGCAGTCTATGGCATTTACGGCATGTCGTGATTTTATATGATTTTTTGAACATATGCCGTTTTTGGTCGAAAACTCAGAAATCATGACGTCACTAAAACCTCGATATCTCAAAAAAATTCCTAACGATTTTTTTGAAACTTTGTCACAATAAACTTCAATCAATTTCCTACAGGTACCCAAAATTTGGGGGGGCGGGGCGTTTAACGCCCCCCCCCCCAGCAACTCGCGGACTAAATACCTACATATTTTTCGCTAATCATTATCTAAAGTACAGGGCCGGAGCTCTGTGCCCTGTCATGGTGCAGGGCAAATATTTACACATTATTCGACTGGTGGTCGCATTTCGTAGAGACAGCGAACGCTCTCATCAATTCCTTGCATTTTTGTCAGTTTAGTGGTTAGGTATACAATACATATACCATGGGGTTCGTTGCGGCAATAGGAGCCAAATTAGTCCAGGAAAATATCATAGCATCATTTATCTGAAATTATCATTTCCATAAAAAACACATGCAAGCTTGTTAGCATGAGGTTGTCGCCAAACCAAATGTTTTTGCTCTACTTAGCCGATAGGATCCCAATCCTGCATGTAATGTTTGCGCTTAGTTGCTCATGTTGTAAACTAAATACCTAAGGCTGGTTTTTGTTTATCTTTACACATGTCCAAACGTCTCGTTATGCACGGGTTGTGGAGGGTCGGATGAACGGTCTGTTTATGTGTCCGGTTCGCTTGCTCCTCCACTCATTGGAGTGTGTCGTGTGCGTGCGTGTGGGGCTGGCGTGCCTGTCTGTTTTTCCTCACATACACACATTTATATGGCAGGCACTCTACGAGACACCAGAACTCCACTATACCGTGAAGACGCAGCGAACTTTCTGGCGGGACTACGCCTCGGACACAAACAACGAAACTTACCCCGAATATCCACCGGGCAACAAGTGTTCGGACAAGCAACTGCAAACGCAACAGGTGGCTTGTCATAGCGCCTCCCTGCTGGGCCGATGCAACTTGCCGGAATTTATTGTGGTTTTGCAGACATAGCACAATACAGCTGGGCCACAGACGTTTGTTCTGGCGCCGGATTGCTGGCAGAGGGTCGGTTGCATGGGTCGAGTTTGGCTGTAACGTGTCATATTGTGGTGTCGGTGGCGCCTGTGGCCAAGGTTACCAGACATCGCTTGTATAATGGTGGAGGGATTGTGAACCGTGCGTTAGTGCAACCGAGAATAGATTACTGAGCGATATGGAGCACTGGTAGAGGAGACTTAGCAGGTCTTGTGTAGCATTATTTTAATGATATTGTTCATGCTGTCCCGTAGCTCAGTTGGTAGAGCATTGGACTCCCGGTAGTGAGAGCCCGGGTTCGAGACGCCCCGGCGCTCGATATTTGAGACTCCTGACGGGGATGGTCTGCGGTTGGTGGGAGCAGCCACAGCCAGTTGAAGTCAGTTGATTGGGGCAGGCCGTGTCCGGCTTTGAAGGGCACGTTAAACTTTGGCATCTAAATTCTCCCGATACCCGGAATTGCGCGATCGGACGGTAGGGGTCGGGGTCTACGCAACAAGCTCTGCCTAGCGTGGGCTCCGGCTCTGTCAATCCGTCCATTCAAACATTCGAGCTAAATTTATAAAAAAAAAATGCTCACCTGACGGTTGGCGTTTAGGTAACCCTTATTGTCATGTCTCGATATCACTTTTTCTGGTTCTTCTGTTCTTTTGAGTGTTTTTAATTGTAGGTATGTCTTGTTTCGCTGTTTTGTATCTATATCATTTTATAATTTATAGAACTCAATAACAATGCATACTAATACATATTTGGATATATTCGGTTGGTATTTGGAACCAAGGTTGTCATTGATTGTAAGAAGCTCAATGTGGGACGTAGTCGGTCTCTCTAACTGTACGTATGCCCGTATATTTATGAACGCCGGAAACCGATCGTTTTTAAGTTCATTTAGAGAGGATGATTTTAAACAGCTGTATGTGCACTTTCTAATATTCGATAGATCTACCCTTATCCAAATCCGAAAATATCAATGATTCCGACGAATGAATATGATCAGGAAGTAGGTATATGCGTGGCGCTGGTGGCCCAATAAAATTTTTGGTTGTTTTTTTTCAGCAACCTTTTGCCAGGATCCAAACATTTCAATGGGCTGGAGGCATATAAGCAATCCATTTCTTTGGCTATGATCAATCAATGGTCATTGGTCATTCCTGATCGTGATCATGCCACTCGCCGAGTAGGTGAGGTCAAACTAATGTACAAAATGACGTTACTTTTCCGCTTAATTCAACGATATCACAGCACCCAATTACACAATAAATCGTCTCTCCCCTTTTATCAGTTAGTCGTTAGGAACTGGCTTATTCCGTCCCTTCGGGCTGGATATGAATTAACCGATATTTAAGCGGGGGCAAAACGGGAAATATCGTGGGAAAGCGCTCTGAGCAATTCCAATGCAATCAGTGGAATATAATTTACGACTGGCTGTGGGAACGCTCCCGCTCAACATACAACTGCACTGATTGCCATGATATGCAATATGCATATCATTGCATATGAATTATCCACGAGTGACAGAAGTTAGAGTTTAGATGTTTTTGTGGTGACATGGATGCTTTGAACTTTGTGTTGCATGAAGAAAATAGCGGCAAAAAGCAAAAGTTCTCAAACGCTAAATCATTCGGCTTATTTAGCTTTGTGGGAAATGGGAATCTCGCTCGGGTATGGAACCGTTTAACCTCCTGCCCGAGTTTATTGTTGTTGCGAAGTTGATGTCATTTTAGCCGAACTGGTGTGACTTGCCTCTGACCACTCTCTATCCTTTCGAGTTTTCAAAGTCATGTTTTGAAAATCAATACCCAAATCGCTGCCGCGTGATCACGGCGTCAGCACTGCGTCAACACGTCAGAGCTGCCGACGCGGCCGGCGGCGCCGTGTCGATCGAGAAGCACGTGCCACCTGCCCCGCCCCTGCCCCTCCGGAGCGGGGCGGGCCGGGGCTCCGGGGGAGGGGGCGGGGCAGCACGTGTGTCGGCCGGCCGACCAGCGACGCATGGAGGTCGATAGTCGGCGTCGGCGGTCGGTGGCGCACCTGAGCCGGCGCCGCATCGACCGGCCAATTGTCGCAGCGCGGCGCGGCCGTCGTGGCGCGCTGCGGCGCTGGTGCCGCAGCGGCGCCCCGCCGACCGACCGACCGACCGACCGACCGACTTGTTGGTCGGTGCAGAATGGGACGGTCTGAGGGGGAGGGGACGGTCAGCTGACGGAGGGGGGACGATGATGTGTCTGTCGGTCTGGAGACGGGGACGGACGTTTGGAAATGATGGTATGGGGGAGACAGGCCGCTGGATATGGCGTGGTTCGAGATTGGACCATTAGGTATGGAGCTGCGATTTGTAATGGGAACGGACACGGCCGATGGTGTTCGACTCTGACAGAGTTAGCACTGACGCCCTAAGAATCAGCTTGAACGGTGGAGTAGCAGAGTTCATCGCAATTAAGATTTCAGGTGGTCTTTCAGCACGTTTTTTTCGGTGAATTTAGTTATCCAAAAATCTTTCAAACTTTGGAATGACATTTCCTGGACTATGAACAAATCGTTCTCACTAAGTCATGCCTGTATACATTCCAAGGTGCTTCAAAGGTAGTGTGCCAGCTTTCCTGGACCGTATGGAGTTAATGGCCCAGATCAGTCCCACGCACAAGGGGGAAAAGCTCAAAAAATTGAGCGCTCAAAAAATTGAACGGGCCCCATTATGAAGGAATAGGCGAAACGATGGTATTTTAAAATGCCTTTAGCGTCACACTACGGCAAATATCGTATCCAAATAAGGTATCAATGGCAAGAGAGAGCAACAAGGTTTCTTCTCGAATACTCGCCGTGATAATTTATATCGGTGTTTTTGGAAAGAAAATGCCCTAAAGACGCTCAACTTTTTGAGCGCCACTTGTCGTTCGGGACCGCGATACTCAATAAATTGAGCGCCACGACAGACGACAGTCAGCTGGCGCTCAAAAAATTGAGTGCCGGCCAGCATCGACACTCAATTTTTTGAGCGTTCTCCGTGACAGGTGAAGCCGGTACTGGCTGCCATTTTTGATGTTATGTTCGTTGAAATACGTTAAACTGAGTTGAAACAGAAATGCAGGAAGTTGAATGCTACGTGGTACCTAAACTTTTCACAAACCCATGGCATCATGTCACATTTTCCGCTAGTAGTTTTATCGGTCGCCTTTCGGATTCGGCACACCTCAAATAATTATACAGGGCTTGAATAATCCGTATGAATACTGTATTGATATTCTCTGACTGTACTGGGAGAATGGAATACGTGAATACAGAAAGATACCCACCCACGCTTGAATATTGGAGAATTATAGCAGGAAAAACTGTATTGCCACGGTTACAACTTACAAGGCCATCGGCCGCAAACAAACAAAAATACTATAGGTACAATGTGGGTTAGATTCACAAACATCATCAAGTGTGGAACACAGAGACGAGCAAAACAACATCACATTATCGCATGCCAGCCCGACCACATTGGAACCGGGTGACCTGCGACCGGAACCTGCGTCTTGCCAGCATACATCACAAAAGCAGGAGGCAGTGTCGTACTGCTTTGATCCAAAATATGCCATATAACAAATGATATAAACGACCTAAGCTCGGACTAAGCTAATCATTATCAAATCCTTAACATGTAAGGGACGAATGGAAACATCGAGTCTCAGACCAGCAGTAGCAACCATCACAGTAGCAACATCACAAAGAACACGCGGCATTATCAGACAGCCGTTTTGTTATTGGGCTACAGGCGGCGACGGCGTGGTTGCAGACCAGCTGCGAGGTAGCGGCGTGCGGGCAAAAGGCGCGGGCACACCTCCATGTGGCCGTACGGACAGTGCGCGGTCGGCGTCGCATAGTGGGCGGCATCGGGCTGTCCCGGGGCCGTCGCAGCCGCACAGGTTGTCGGCGCATGTGGGCGCGCGCGGTCACCACGGCCAGCTGCTCACCGCCAGCACAGACTGCGCAGCGTCGCCGCTCCGCCGGCCAGAACACGCATACAACCCTTCTTGCAGTCGCACAACACGTCGCCAAACTCATTCACCTGCTCCACCATGTTGTTGATGTCACTGAGTCGTTCAAGTTGTAGCTCGTGCCGTCGAGCATGACCTGCCCGATCGGACACGGGTCAGCGGCTTCTGCTCCAGCGAAGTCTTCATCTTGGTGACGTCTTGCTGATCTCCACAAAGGCTGAGCAGATGACCTTACCCACAGGGACGGCCGACGTCCTCGCCAGCGACCGCTTGGTTGTGCAGACCTGCCAGAAAAAGAAAAGCTGTTTGGTGATCTCAAACGATTTTTTCTTTATGCAGTGGAACAAAATGGAAAATATGTCATACAACAGGAACTAAAAAAAGATGCAGCCTAGGTCGTCTAAGAAATGGGTGCAACATTGATAAAATTCTTCATTGAATGAATTCTGCAAATGCTTTTGAGTTTTGATAAAATGTGTGGTGATTATAACTTATAAGGAGGCCACTTTACTATAAAATTGCTCAGGATTCCTTATCTGGACCTGTCAAAAAAATCCTGACTGCACACCAACAATGAGCATTAAATCCGAAACCTCTACAAGGTACCTAGGGATAATTAAATTCTGATTCAGGAAAATATTTCACATCATACAAATAAAAACCTTTACTATATTGAAACTGAAAATGTAATGCCGATCCAGTGACCTAAGGGTCTCAAAGTATAATAATGAATTAATCTATTATAAATTTGGTGGTGACTGTCGACTGGCGTCTGGCGGCCTAGACCTTGAGGCTTGAAAGTGGCCTTCCTTTTCCGTTGACTCCGATCCTCCAGATGGAAATGATATAAAGTATCATTTTTATCTTATTTCATATGAGCCAGTCAGCAAAGTGGCTATCCTGTTTCAGCATTCACACACACAATAGTTGACTGTCAGTCTCTCATGCTGTCAGTGTTGTAGTAACGAAGGAGTTTAGTTTTGTTGATTATAAATTGTGATGTTATGTAAAGGACTGGAAAATGAATGTGAAAACTATGGAAACATATTGGCAGAGTATTGTCACTTACTATCAGGACATATGGATAGAGAATACATTCAAATTAATAAGAAATGCCAAATATCAAGGTACTAAATCACTGATAGGAGTGGACTATCATATGTTTTAATGTCAATTATATGAAAGTTACGACTGAAACTACCTTTTACCTCATCATACCTAATGAAAAATTGTGTGAAGAAAACATTCACAGCCTCTTTGAAGCACTTAGACCACTAAAAAACAAAAATTTTCACGTAAATATGTTGTGTCTCCTTCCTTC